ATATCCGTGGTACGGGTCTTGATGTAAGAAGACTAGTAGCCTGTTGTCTATTGTTAACTAGTCATACTACCTCTTTATCGTCATTATCATCAGTTCACTATATCCCCTTCATCATCATCATCATCATCCTCTCCTACTACTACTTCTTCCTCACAATATGTATTATCGGCCGTATACTGTAAAGAAGAGGCTTTAGATGATGATAATGAGGCTAAGGTCTTCCTAACAGACTTCTTTAACCAGTACATATCTCATCACTATCATCCCGTAGCCATTATAGTCTATCAGGCCGCCGTCCTCTTCTAGCTACCATAGACAAGGCCCTTTACTACACCAATTGAGGACCACTACTACTACTACTACTCTGGATTGCAATAAAGCTGCTACATTCTTGGATACAATGATTAGGCAACGAGTTCCATTATTCTATGGTGAGTAGCTACTACTACTACTACTACTACTACTACTACTACTACTACTACTACTACTACTATCACTCATGCTATAGAGTGATATATGGGTATTATTCATCATCATCATCATTATCATTATTAGCTCATCCAATCTTCAATAAGAATGATAATACTACCACCTGTAATGGTATGCAGAAAAGGAATGTCATAGACTAATGATAATCAGGAAGAGGATCATCATCATCATCATCATGGTGGGCGGCGGCGGCGGCGGTGGCGGCGAAGGTATGATAGTGTCATAATCATGTTGATAATAATACTGTTGAACAATAATAATAATGAGTATTGGGTTTAATAATAATGCAGAGAAGTAGGGGAAGGAACAGTTAGTATTAACATCTATGATACTATTACTACTCGTAACATGTTCATACTGTGGCAGCATGTATTAATTCAACCTCTTATCGTCATGATAATGATGATGATCCTTATTATAGCAATCTCATGTGGTAATTATTCCTATTAAATGGTCCCCTTGAACTATCATCATATTGACAACACTTATCCTTATCATATTGGTATGGTTCATGGACTCAGCGACTACCCAACAACACCAACAACTGTTGCTGCTGCTACGACTTGCAGAGGAAGCTAATGTGACCGAAGAACAATTTGAACAAATTCATGATACGCTCGAAGGTGATTTGACGGGATTCCGTGATAAAATGATAGAAATGAAGCGGAAGGCTGATGATGAGGTTAATGATGAGAATAATCGTATTGATAGAGATGATAGCATCCAGATGGATAGATTAGCTGATCATGCTCAAATGGTTGGAGCACAAGCACTAAAGGCAGGCAATATCATCGGTTATAACTCTGTAGCAGCAGGAGAACGACACATACTCATCATCTTTGATCATCACCATCGTCATCATCATCAATATCTGTTGTGTTGTCAATGATGTTGATATTAAGGTTATGGGTATCCCTACTCTTCTTACAATCATCATCATCATCATCGCTAGTACTATGCTTTGCATCTTTCTCAGCCAATACTCGTTATTATTTATCTAGTACTATGAGATTGTCGTCATCAATATTGTTATCGATGATTATCTCTTCTGGTATTGTACTATCGTATCCTGGTATTGATAAATCACCCAATAACAACAACAACAAGAAGGAGAATAGTAGTTTATTGGAAGAAGGACATGATAAGAGGTTTATCTTCCTAGCCCCCCTTATTGCTGGGGCTCTTCTTGCCAACAAGTTTAGCGCCTCTAAAAGCAGCGAACAACAGGGATACAATTCTAGGAGAGATTATTCTCTTGAACTTAAGAATATTGGTAGATGGACCAAGGATATGATGCAATCATATAATAGGGATTCCGGAAGGTAAGGGGTCCTCTCTCCGGGATCGTTCTCATCGTCGTCGTCGTTGTAGTAGTCTACTACTACTACTACTACTACTACTACTACTACTACTAGTAGTAGTAGTAGTGTCCATTTGTTGTTGTCCACTTGTTGTTGTTGTTGTCCACTTGTTGTTGTTGTTGTCCACTTGTTGTTGTTGTTGTCCACTTGTTGTTGTTGTCCACTTGTTGTTGCTGTTGTCCACTTGTTGTTGTTGTTGTCCACTTGTTGCTGTTGTTGTCCACTTGTTGTTGCTGTTGTCCACTTGTTGCTGTTGTTGTTGTTGTTGTCCACTTGTTGTTGTTGTTGTCCACTTGTTGTTGCTGTCCACTTGTTGTTGTTGTTGTCCACTTGTTGTTGTTGTTGTCCACTTGTTGTTGTTGTTGTCCACTTGTTGCTGTTGTTGTTGTCCACTTGTTGCTGTTGTTGTTGTTGTTGTCCACTTGTTGTTGTTGTTGTTGCTGTCCACTTGTTGTTGTTGTTGTTGTCCACTTGTTGTTGTTGTTGTTGTTGTCCACTTGTTGTTGTTGTTGTCCACTTGTTGTTGTTGTTGTCCACTTGTTGTTGTTGTTGTCCACTTGTTGTTGTTGTTGTCCACTTGTTGTTGTTGTTGTTGTCCACTTGTTGTTGCTGTTGTCCACTTGTTGTTGTTGTTGTCCACTTGTTGTTGTTGTTGTCCACTTGTTGTTGTTGTTGTCCACTTGTTGTTGTTGTTGCTCACTTGTTGCTGTTATTGCTATGGTTGGTGTATCAGGCGTAAATATAACGACGACGTTCTGCAGAGGGCGGATAAGAATCAATTACAGGGTGTGGGATGGAATGAATTTATAGGAGCTCAGGAGACTAAACGTAGAGTAACGGAAGAGTTTCCAGCATTCCTTTACAAGCTTTCAAAGTTGTAATAATAATAAAAGTCACCAAGCAAACCTTATTCAATACAATCATCCATTGCAGAATGACTCAAGCTGATAAGACATTCGCTACCTTCCGGAGTACGATAAGTAGTCTTCAAAAGTTGGCACTTCCTAGAAGGTAATAATAATCATACTACTACTACTACTACTACTACTACTACTAACTCAAGGACATATCATAATGGATATGTTTTAGTCCTACTGGATTGATGATATTGCGTCGTAAACTGGGGGAAGAGATCCTTAAACAACAAGGTCGATTATCCCGATCATTCGATGACATATTTAAATCACTTAATACGATGGAGGAGAATGCTGGGAAGACCTTGATGCAGAGCTCAAGCGGAGTGAATGACTTAATCACGAGGGAACTTGGCAAATTCATGAACGGGATGTCCCGAACATCAGCCCATTTAGCTAGATTATGTTATTCTACGGATGAAGATTTTCGGAAATCTATGAAAGGGTTACGGAAAGGTGCAGAGGCTCATGCAAAGACTTTAATGAGAGCTGAGCGAGGGTTGAATAAGATTATTCACAAGAATGCAGTTATGATGGATGCTGATTCACTGCACTTTGAGGACAAAATTGCGGCTAACAATGCAGAGTTAGACAAGGCACGACATCATATACAAGATCGGGCGGAGGCTATGATTAATGACGCTAAATTACTTGGTGATAAATACATAGCTAGAGGGGAGCTTAAGATGAACAGGACTTTACCAAAAGCTATCTCAACCAGTGAGAGGGAAATCGAGCAAGTGGGAAAGAATATCGAGAATAAGGTGAAGTCCGATGAGCGCTACTACACCAGGCTTTTAAAACGTCTCGATAATGGTCTGCATAAGGAATTTAGACGTGCATCGAAGAATGCTGTGGCTGTTGGGAAAGATGCTAATAGGAGGTTTGATGGGGCATTAGTTGGTTTTGATAGGGATGTTAAGGACTTATCTAAAGGGGGTATATTACATAATACAATAGCGATGAATAAAGCGATGCGGGATGCTGGACGTACAGTGGAAAGGATAAGTGATGGTGTAGAAAGGGAGAAGAAGGATTCTGATAATGCTTTAGAGAAGATGGATAGTAGTCTAGAAGAATCCGTAGGTGGAGAAATACAATCTATTGAATCATCATCAAGCAATGAGAAGGCTCTATTATCAAGAAGAGCTGAGATGGTTAATACTAACTTGGCTCAAATAACAGTACAGAATCAACAATCGGCAGCTAGGACTGCTGATAGTTATTCACAATTAACTGGTACATTAGCAGTTAATAATGATAGAGAGATGGAGCATCAACAAGGAGTTATACATTCTGCTGAAGAAACGATTGAGGGTGCCGAGAATGATGTTGATAATGATATTAAAGTTAAAGTGGGTGATAAGGAGAAGTTACTGGTTAAATCACAATCAGCGATGAAGAGTATGTTGAGTGGATCGGAAATGGACTTTGAAAATGCTATGACAAAGAGTCATCAAAATATTCAAACTATTAAGAACACATTAGAAGGGCGAGTGAATTCCGATAAGAAGTTGAATAATGATGATGTTGTGAGTATGGAAGAAGAATCCAAAGGACAATTGGATAGATTAATAGAAGCCGAAGATTCAGTACATGCCTCCATGGAAGGTTTACCTGATATCCAATCTGTAGTAGGCAATAGCTATGAAGGTGCTAATGATGTATTAAAGGAGATGAAAGGATTAAAGAAAGATATTACAAGTCTAATGAATCCACGTAAAGCCTCAGAAGATAATATGAAATATGCAGTTAGGGGTCTTCAATCATCAGGCAGTGGTGAATTGAATACTATTCAAGGTATTGATAGTATTAACGTGAATAAGGCCCAGGGGATATTACATGAGTTGGTGGCCAATTCCAACGAGGAGATTGATAAAGATATGAAAAACGAATTATCTCATCTAGCTTCTGCTCATAGTACATCTATTAATAGAATAAAAGAGATTCTTGCCAAATCAGAAGTTGATGAAGCTAATCAAGTAGCGACGACAGGGAGGATGCGTGATAATATAGCTGATGTTGAGAGAGATGAGAAAACTGCTAAGGGAAATTTTGGTAAGAGAATGTCACACACGATCGCTCTTGAGCGTGATAAGAGTAAAAAAGAATATCATCATCAGCTTATGAAATTGGAAGATGAGGAAAAGAAGGCTCAGGATTTGTTATTTAAATCTGTCCGAGCTGCAACTAGTAACTTATTATCGGGTGGTAAAGCTAATGAATTGGAGATATTACACTCTGTGAATGGGCTATTACGGGCATTAGACGTGGTACATGGTTCGGATATTAAAGAGGATAATGCTATAGCTAATGCTAATTCTAAATATAAGAATATTCTACCTCTGAATGATAGGGAGATAGACGGTATAGATAAGGCAATACAGAATGAGAAGATGAGATTGAAGAATGAGTTTCATGCATCAGATGTATCATTAACAAAAATAGCTATGGACAGATCAAGAAAAGCTAATATTACAATTAAAGATCTACAAAAGGCGATTAAAGAGTTGGAAATTGAAGTAACTCGATCGAAGGATACTATGTTAACATCAGCACGAGAAGGAACGACTTACATTGATAAATTTATTGGTAAATTGCGCGAAATAATGATGGCCGATGCTGAACTTGATAAAAATGATTATAGACAAGGGTTATATGATATGAATAGGAAATATGCCTCACTTTCTAAATTTACGAATCAGAGAGGTAAGACGATTGGTGCAGATATGGACAGTTATGCTAATTCGTCATATAATCGTCATGAAGCTCTCGCTAATACTTTAGCTAGAGTTATTAATGATGCTCAACAGATGGGATTATCAGAAGAGGAAATGCAAGAATATGTTAAGAAGAGACTTGCAGAGGAAGCTAATATGACCGAAGAACAATTTGAACAAATTCATGATACGCTCGAAGGTGATTTGACGGGATTCCGTGATAAAATGATAGAAATGAAGCGGAAGGCTGATGATGAGGTTAATGATGAGAATAATCGTATTGATAGAGATGATAGCATCCAGATGGATAGATTAGCTGATCATGCTCAAATGGTTGGAGCACAAGCACTAAAGGCAGGCAATATCATCGGTTATAACTCTGTAGCAGGAGAACGAAGTTATAGAATAATGAACAATCAACAAACTATCACTGGCAATAGATTACGGGCTATGATGCATGTCGCTCAGTAATAATGATGATAATACTACTACTACTCCTATCTTAATAACTCTATCTATTGTTATCATCATTATGGTTTTCTATTGTTACTTTCCCTCCTCCTTTTTCTCAGAGCTAACAGTGGATCCCTAATTGATGATATAGCCGCTGCAAAGGGTGTATCAACAACAAGGATAGCAAGTGTTATGGATGCTGTGACCTCGTATATGATACTTATCAAGAGTTTCATGGATGAGGTAATATCCCATCGATTCATCATCATCATCATTGTTTTTGTTGTGGCTTCAGATGAAAGCAGAACTAGGATCAGTGAAAGGTCGATTATCTAATTTACAGGAAGAATATGGTGACAAGATTAACAGGAATACCAAAGAGTGTAATGATTATGGCATTGATTATTATTGAGAGAAAGAGGAAGAGGAGGAGGATGAGGATGAGAAGAATGATTATAAACATTTGTTATCAGATATGAAACCAGCCCTAATGGCTTCAGAGGCAATGTCACAATTCGACAGGTGAGGAAGATGGATAGGATTATTGTCGTAGCAGTAGTAGTTGTTGTGTTTTAAAACTTTGCAGCTTCCAACGAGAGAGTGAGCCTTTACAAAATGTATTCCGAAGTAAGGCAAAAGAGATGATGGATAATGTTAAAGGAAGTGCTGATTCAGCCGAGTAATAATAATAATGACGGATATAGTATACTAATGATAACCTTATGATAAGGTCGATGAGTGATGATTCACCTATGACACTCTGTTGTTGTTATTATTGTTATTGTTGTAGGCGAATAGCTGATGGAATAGCAGATAGAATTGATAAAGGAGCTTCAGATATTGAGAACATCCGTCAGAAGGTTCAAGGATCATTGGACAGGTATAATCACCATTATAATGTTCTATCCTACTCTTACTTTAGACATGTCGCTCAAAAGAAACAAATATTCGTCCAGCAGCTGTTAAAGATCGCTGACGAGAGCTCAAAGCCATTGAATATTGTCGTATAAGCCCAGTGATTAAGTCCTTTTCGTATCTTCATGATACTTTCGCACATGTGTAATCTGTTGATAATCATTAAGTACATCTAATTCTGTTGTTGTTGGATTAATGGAAGCAGCTTCTCAATAATCTAGATGTTCCTTCATGGTTTCCTCAAATGTACGAGTTCTTTTCTCGTGCTCCGAGCGATCAGTCGCTATCATCTTGAACATATCCTGGGAATTCATCCCCACATACACGTAGCCATCTGGCTCGAGGCAGTTGGATCCATCAATTATTTCGAATACAATTACCACAAATGACTAAATTCCATCCTTTGATGGGGAAAACGCCCCCACCACCTCGCCGTAAGAAGCGCAAAACCGGATCGTCACCTAAACAACCGGATGGGAGTAAAGATCCTCCTCCTGAGACGTCGAGAGTTTTATGGAGGGAAATATCCAAGGACGACGAATTCGGGCTAGAATTCGCGAATACTCATGGCCACGCGGCTCCGTTGTGGCCCGTGGATGTGGAGCGAATAGTATCAACCCTGGGGAGATCTCCGGCGAACGTTGTGTTGAAAGTCGTTGGTCGGCTCACAACTGAAACCGGAGCCCGCATTCAAGATCTCTCCTGTGTGTTAAAACCACACGTGAGAAGATTGAGCGCCGAGGAGGCTGGACGTCCGCCTAAGAGACAATGGTGTAAGTCAAAAGTAGGGTTTGGAGTGTCTAGATATCATGTCAGGTAAAAGCGGATCATCAACATATGAAGGCGAGAACGGCGACCAAGGCTGACCAGTTAAGGAAGGTGAAGGGCATGACTGCGAGCTAGTCTATACCTTCATCCCTCCCAACTGTAAAACGTTGCGACAAGAACAGGTGAGATTTTTGCTCGTCCTATCCTTTCGCTCGTCGAATCCTCCCGCTCGTCCAATCCTTTCGCTCGCCTGACCTTATCGGTCATATTCACCCGAACCCGAACCCGAACCCTTCAACCCAGAATCAACCTATATTCATTTTTTTCACTTTCAGGGCCGAGTTATAGTGCGCGCAACTGGGGCAGCGTATCTTCATGAGTATATGATGATGAGAAGCGAGATGAACTACGGCAACGGGTCCGTCTTACTTTTACTTGATTTTGATGGCCACGCGCTCGAACCGGATTTGTTCGTTATTCCTCACAGTATGAGAGTATGTAATGGACGAAAATTTACTAGAAGATATGTGAAGGCGATCTCTTTGAAGGTGAGGGAGAAGGCAAAGATATCGGATGTGGGTTATGAAGATGAAAGCCTCTTTTTGTTGATGTGATCATTTTACATAGCATCCTTCTCAGTGGTTCTTAGTTTCTTTGATTCGCTTGCCCACTCGGGTCTAGATTAGGTTCGTCACCGTCTATTCTACTCCTATGGACGAATTTGCGGTCACCAGTGACTCGGAACACGAGAACTACTATTCAGCCAAAGAGGTGCCCACAAAAAGACGACTTCATAATGTAGTCCCCATTGGGATCGAGTAAACGACAATGACACTGAGATACACTACGATGAGTATAATCTACCTGATGACAATGACGTGCTTGAATTCCTGGAATGAAGCACAGTATCAAAACTATGTACTTGAACTGAACCGGGAGGATACCACCTATTAAAAGATATAGAAATGAATGACGAAGAAGTCATAATAACTCGTTGGGGTCGTGGATGGTAGCAGGGCTTGATAGAGGCCGAACTCTCTGGTATAAATTTATCTCAGGTGTATATAGGAAACTAGGTACGGCATTCAATGCAGAGTAGTCAGTTAGGCTGTCATGCTGGGAAGAGAGAATGTACACATCAGCTCCTTGTAGACCATACATCGTACTATACAATTCCATGTGCATGGCTAGATTTCCAAGAAGCATTTGATTCTTTAGAACAAACCCTAGATCTTGACATGGCTTACAAAACTAAGTACCGCCGGTACTTTACAGGGCCTGACATAGTGGATATCACCCAACGAAGTGTAGGAGTGGACGATAGCCTATCCGAGCTTGTCAGAGCTGCGTGTGATTGAAAGGCTGCGGCATGCCGTAGTGTGCTTGCTATTTTCCGTGGGGTTCCTACTCATTGTGAACAATTTGATGAAATTCTACTCGGTGAACTAACTGAGATTAGATATTTAGCGACAGAGGAGAAGTGTAATTAGGTACCACAATAATACATGCTACCAGATGCTTGTACTTGAAAATATTGAGAAAATTATCTTGGGACATGTTGCTACTGTTGAGCGCAAAATTGCCATGCGTCATCCAAACACTCAACTCTCCGTGCATCTCCGTTGTCTATGACCCAATTGAGCGCGATTTCCCCGAAAGGCGAAGAACGTATTGAGAGTAACAAGAACATGGCTACACCTCTTGTCTCGCGAGAAGGATAGTAAGGGGATAGTCAATATCAACGAGTTAATGAAGATGATGTCGAAGATAAAACATGTGTGGCTGTTGGTATGTACGCTTGTGAAATCTTATCGATACTTTGCCTCAGTTGTCTGATATTCTGCGCAACAACAATAACAACCACAACAAACCGTGCGGAGGTAGAAGAAATAGGTCTTCATAAAAGGGTACGAGTATCAATATATTATCAACATCGTCATGACCGTCCCATAGTAGCAAAAAATTTCTGCTCTAGTAACAACTCAAGAACGTAGTATATGTTATAAGGAGAAACCTACTAAAGACTACTACTTCTATCTACTATCTCACTACTCTTGAACTTGAAAACATACCAATTGTATTATTAGCAGCTGATCCAGAAGTTAATGATATAACTCGAGGGATGATGTATAAGTGTAGATGATGACAGAACAGAGGGAATTACCGTCATACCTGATGATGATAATAATAATAATACTACGAGTATTATTATTATAGATGTCGATGTCGTTGTTGGTGTCGATGATGATACTATATGATCATCATCATCATTAGTTATTGTAGAGATAGTTGAATATAGGAATATGCACAGCCGTAGCTGAAATTGTAATCCAGAATAATGTTAATCCATGATGAAGTCCTGATGGCATTGATGCATAAAACCATTTTAGTGTATTAGCCATAGCAGGATTCACAGTAGTAGCTTTCTTAGTAGGTTTAGTAGTATTATGGAAATAACTCTCGATACCACATACCAAATATTGTGATATAAAGAATAAATTCCAAGATAGGAATGATTCATAACGATTAACATTAGGTATAAAGGATGTTAATGGTATCCAATGAGCAGCACTAGATACAATAAATGTAGCCAATGATGCCATATTCCTAGAGAAACCCAATATATGATGTAATGGATGATACACATGACGATATAGGACACGTTGAAATGGTGTATTCCATAATCTCCAAAATGTTGATACATCTTCAGCACTCCAGAAATCCTGACAATATGGTTCCAAAGCATAACCCAATAATTTAAATGTAAAATCCATACCATCAGATATAGCAGTAAACAAATTTACATTACCAAATGCAATACTGGTAGCAGCAATAAATTTACCAACATGTATACCAATATATGGGGATATATTAATATATATAGTAGGAGCTATATAGGTATATATAGTATAGGTTATCAAGCAATGTCCAATACAAGTAATCAATGATTGTATATCGAATGTAAAGGCATGGACTCTTTTGGTACGTTTAGTAACGCCTTGATAAGTAAGCATATGTACCTAAACAATATTATTATATTACAATTTTTATTACTATTGTTATTACAACTCTATCCATAGGATAATTTTCCATATCAATACCATCAGCCGTTTTAGTACTATGATGAGTAGCTGCTGGGGAATCAGCTGTTTTAACACCATCAAATGCATAATCCACAAAACGCCATATCTCACAACAGAATAAATGGAAGAATATAAATATCCTTTCGGTATTAGAAAGGGTATCTATTGGTGCTATCCATGGTATCTAATAATAACAACAATATTGATATTAAATTGTTATAGTAGTATTGATATTACTGGTAATAGTAGAAGGACGTATATAAAGGCTAATTTAGGATATCTAACAGATGCTAATGTTATTATAATCAATTGAGTATATACACTAATGAATAGTGGTGATGCAGGTAATGATGATAATATAGCATTAGAGGTTATATCCGCCATCATCATCATCATCATATCGTAAAACAACAACAACAACAACGTGTTGTGAAGTGGTGGTAGGGTGTGCTGCTACGAGTAGTAGCATAGTAATTAAGCGTACGCCATGATGATCGATACTAAGAACCTTTCTTCCTATTATTATATGAATGAGGGACATATATCACAATGTCGTATTACAGTCGATAATAATCAAGTACTGTACAATCGACTGTATACTGTATAACTATGTAATTATAGTCGAGTAACATATCATGTTCATTATTGCCATGATAGAATACTATCATTATATCTATACTTGTTGGTTCTAAGGACTACTCAGTAGGATGTGGTATCCTCACCAATATGGAATATTCTTACTTATCAATAGGTCGCTTACTATTAGTAGGGAGGGGGGGGCAAGTATTGGAATAATCACTATTATGTGATAGACAATTAACAGGGGTTATAATCCATTTACCACCATTTACCACCATTTACTACCATTACTACCATGATAACTTATGGTAATAAGATAGTGTCAAAGTGTTCTATGTCTCTATAGTATGGAGATATAGAGTCCATACATACTACTCACAGCTGTTGGATATAGTTCTGATCTTTATGGTATGTCCTACACCACCAATAGATAATAAAAGCAACACGATTCCACCATCATACAACAACAACGCGAAGGGGGAGGAGGAGGAGGAGGATGGTGCAGAGAAGTGTGGTAGTAGGATGAGGAGAAGATCTCCAAGGCTAATTGGAGCTTTCTGTGCTCGGAGGTCATCTATAAGCATAATAATCATCATATACATTATTATTTAGGTATGGTATACCCGGTCAGATATATGATAATACTACTACCAACACGGGATGCTCACCGCCGTCATCATCCTCATCATCATCATCATTGCGTGTTACACTCAACCCTCCTCAGCTTAAGAATCAGTGTGTTAGATTAGCCCTCTATACTGTGGCTGAAAGTTATATAAGAAATGTTATATTACCTACAAGGCCGCCACTTCAACAACATGAACGTGATCCCAATGGTATTCAAACCTGCTGCTGCTGCTGTTGCTGTTCTCCTCGGACTAGTGTACTTCTCGAAGAGGAGGATTTTATTCTACCAGCATGGCCAAAGAAGAATGATAAGATAAAAGGTTCATGTTTTGGGGAAGCTCTAGCTGAAGGTAATCGTCATTATTATTATCATTATTGCTACTTACTACTCAGGAGCCTATTACAGGGTATGTTATTATGAATGCGATGCTAGTGAACATCTTGCAACAACAATCGATACTCGACGACAAGGTGGTGGTGGTGCTTGTTGTCATAATAATAACACTTTAATAATATTACCATTGAAGGCATGGCCATACGGAAGTTATCCTGCTATTGGTTTATCATTGCTTATAAGGAGGGTACTTATTCAAACAACATGTGGAGTAGCAGTTGGAGTAAGGAAACATATTAATGATAGGAGAAGGGGAGCATATTATGGTATAAAGGAATATAATAATAACAAACAACAACAACAACAATGGGCTGCTATGGTAGTAGTAAGATTGTTCGTGCTATCTATCAATATTCAGGGATTAATACTCTTAGTCAACACCAACTGAACATCGTCGTCGACATGAACCCATGAACCAGATGCTTAGACTCAAGGTTCAAGGATCACATGCTTTTGTTATTGTTGGTTTTGAATTGGATGATAATTCACCAGGAGGAGGAATATTCATATTCATGGATAATAGTGGTCCTGAATGGGGTCATGCTGGTTATGGTATTTGCTCGTAAGTGATGATAGTTTTTGATTATACACAATAGTAATAATAATCATATGTAGGTTCGATTTCGTAGATAGTTATGTGGATGATATCGCTCAAGCGACGGTTGCTCCTCTTCCAACATCGTCATCATCATCATCAGCTATGAGTAGTAATGAATCCTGTTATCCTGTTTATCAACATTTGGCTGATAATGATAAATATCATGTTAAATGTTGTGGATGCCATCTTTGCATCAATGATGCCATCCCTCAATGTAATTGTTTTGCTTGTTGCTCTATCCCTATCACCACCACCATCACCACTACTACAACAACAACTAATTAACGTATGCATTACGATATTAGGACTGTTGTTTTGGACAATTAATAATACCATTAACGATTACATTAATATTACCATTACCATTAACGATACCAGTCCTGCCACAAACAGCACCGAAGCAACACAAATGCGGCCTACGATCAGATCTCAAGTGGAACAGGTACTGAAGGATGTAGGCGCGAGATGCGATATGGAAACGGTACGCTCCACAAAGCGACTTGGAACATATCACCCGGACAAGGGCACTCATGTTAAACCGAGGCCCATAAGTATCCAGTTCTCCCAGCCCGATATCGCCAGCAACTTCCTCAGAGAAAATGGTGCGACCTTACGAAGACATGGCCTTGGCGTGAAATGGTGGCGTCCAAAACGACAGAGCTCTCTGTGGAACAATATGAGGTCGGAGCACGTGGATAAGCAGATCTCAGCTCTCTCGGCCAGACTTGAACAGATCGCTACTGCCGTTGCTACATGTTCTACTGGAAGCCAGCAGGATTTTCAGTAGCTGGAGATTCAGATCCCGAAATATCGGCTAATGCACAATACACTCCCAATAACGTAAATGTAGAGTCTTTGTCTATCCGTGAGGATGACACTAACCTGTACCATTCTTTATCTGCCAATGATGATACTTCTTTCCGTAGCGATTTTAGTCGATATTCCGTCAATGATGCTGATTCCTCTGTCACATGCTTTTGTTTTGAGAAGAAAGGAAAAGAAAAGAAAAGAGGCCGATTCTTTGAAAAGAAAACAAAAAGAAAGAGTGAAGAGGGGAAGATAAGGCCCATATGTAGTACTAGAGATCCCCCAAAAGGTAGTGGTTATGGTAGCAGTAGCAGCCACTTAGTAGTTGCAGTATCATCCAATGAAGCGAAGAGCCCCACTTCTGAAGGCACCATGATGGGCGATGGGACCTGTCCCAACATAGCAACAAGAGACACACGAAGAAGTGGACCCATGAGCTTTCTGAACAAACGGTACAAACCTGTTGTGGCGTCATTGAATGTCCGGTCAGCGCGACGTGAAGCACAGAAGGACGCCATACTAAATCTCCTTATGGACAGGAATATCGATGTCTCGACGGTCTGTGAAACCCGCACCCGTTTCGGGTCCTATCTCGGTGAATATCGAGTACTAAATGGGGAAAATACTGGGGTTAAGGTTCTGATATCAAAGTGGGCACAGCAGTTCCTTATAGAGGCTTATAAAACTTCGCGAACTCCTTGGAGAAGGCTCTAAGAGATGGTTCCGCCAAGGATTGCACTCTAGTATGTGGGGATATGAACGCTACCGGAAGAAATATGACATTGCTGCAAGGCATTGCGGATTTATATGAGCTAACGATACCTCAATTGACCAAGCTTCAGCACTTGAAGACATTACCAACATGGCACCACCCAAATCCCGAAGCTCGTGGTACTATCGCAGATATGATAATGATAAGGAAGAGGTTTATAAATGTCATAGAACACATGAAGATATGCGAGCCTGGAACCGTTAGTACCGACCACGATCTCGTCCTTAGTCGCCTAGGGCTCCATCTAAATCGCCGATACACCACCCCTGCACAATCGAAACCGAGTGATTAAGTTAAATATATGGTGGAACACCCAGCGGTACGTAGTGCTATAGACGAGTCAATGGAGACGGCCCTGGGACACTTGGGAGACCCACTATCAACATCACTAGATGATATGTGGCATTCATTCAAGGGTGCAGTAGAAGCATCTCTTGATTCAGTGGATACCACAGCACCCAGGAAAGAGCCGCCGCCCAGTAACCGTCGGTCCAGAGGAAGAACTGAGAGGCGACTCCAAATCCGTGAAGGTGTCGATGAGATCAACCAATGTCGGGTTGACTATCTCAAAGGAATATGGCGCATATTGGATAGATCCCTAGGAAAGAAGACGGTCCCAAGAAACACATCGACATCCATGACGGCAGATAAAGTTGCAGCCTACATGTCTGAGCTGTACCAGTCATGTCAGAGCCAGGCGAGTACCCGAGAGATAGAGGAGCTCCTTTCGTTGACACCCTCACTGGATGACACCCGCGATGCGGATCTGGATAGCCATCCGCTACCAGAGCCCATCCAGAGAGGGGAAGTGATTCAAGCTATCAACGCCCTCAAGAGCGGGCGGGGCACAGGAGTAGATGGAATACCTGCCGAGCTCTTAAAGTCTGGCGATGGAATGGTGAGCTGGTTGCAACTACTATGCGACAGATGCTTCAGGGATGAGGACCAACCCAAAGAGTGGATGATATCTAAGACTACCATGATATACAAAGGCCGCGGAAAAAAGAACGACTGCTCGAACTACCGAACAGTCCTGTGTCAAGCGAGTGCAGCGAAGGTTTATTCGATAATCATTCTGGGCCGGATATATGATACTCTCAATAGCTCGGTTGGACCCGCCCAAGCGGCATTCCGTAGGTGGTACACAGCCTGCGATTGCTGTCAGAAAAGTGCAGTAACCATGGAATCGGCTTGAATCTGCTAAGTATCGATTACACCAAGGCTTTTGATCGCCTCTCACGAAGTTTCCTATGGAGAGTTCTGAAGTCTATCAACCTTCACCCGAAGTATATTCGCATAGTTCGCAAGAGCTTCGAAGGTGCAGTCGCAGAGATAAACCTGCACCAGAGCACTCGGCAGATCGACCTTTGCTCCGGCGTTAAGCAGGGGAACATTCTGTCGCCGATGTTATCCATTGCTAGTCTTGATCAGATTCTTAAGAAGACGCTGCGTCAAAATCTACCAAGCTTTTGCCTAGCCACAGAGAACCTCATTCCACAGAAGACGACAAGAAGATCAATGATGAACCAGCTTATGATGGATCCTATACACGACCTGCCGTTCGCCGATGACGTCACCATACCCACGTCATCGTTAGAAGAGGGGACGCTGGCCCTTAAAACAGTGGTGGGAGGCTCGAAATATGCTGACCTCACCGTGTCGGTCGAAAAATGTAAAACTCTTACTATTTGCAATGGTTCCACCAAGAGCGATGGGAACAATCACCAACAGGACACATCGTATGTCCAGGACGCTACAGGCACTGCAATTCGGCCATCTACTAGTGAATATCTGCGAATCCTTGGGTCGTATTTCACGCGGGCTGAAGATGGAAATGCCTATGAGATTGGGAAAAGGATCGAGGCTGCGGGCCAAGCCATGAATCGGCTGGGAAAGTTCTGGAAGACACACGATGCTAGCTTGTCTGCCAAGATAACGGTCCTCAGAGCAGTCGTATTCGCGTCGCTCTTTTACGCGAGCGAGACGCTGACCCTCAAGGAGCCTGAGACCCAGCGATACTGTGTCTTCTACAATGCTGCTTTGAGGCGAGTCTTGAACATCGACCCGCTATCCCATACATCAACAAGAGAGGTTCTATCGAGGGCCAGATGCCCAGAATGCCGAGCTGTCTTGCGAGCCCGGCGGCTTCGGTGGTACGGGCACCTACTACGGCTGCCATCAGGGTGTCCCATCAGCAAAATATATTACTGGAATCTGTCTATCCATTTGGGCAAGTTACGCAGCGGGCGAGGAAGCGACCGAAACTGGGAAACTCAACTTGCTGACGATATGAAAGTTGTAGGGCTGAAGAGGAGTGAAGCCAGCGATAGGAAGTTATGGGAAAATCGTATCAGAGACAGTTGTGCCGTCCCCAAATATCGAGCGAGTCTGAGAGGAAGCTCCGGCCTACTTCCTTTCGGCCAGTGGTAACAGGCCTCAGAACCAATGCTGTCCGTGGGGAGGCATTGGCGCCCCGACCGCTCGGCGGTTTTTGAGCGAGAGAGAGAGAGATTTGGGGAGGGTCACCCTGTAGCCTACAGACTGTACGGAGGAGCATCGATATCTTTACCATCGATATCATAACTACCTTCCAGAGTCTCCCATTAGGTCAGTTAACCCGGAATCCACTTCTAACTTTTATTTTAGAGTTCTCATCATCCACACCTTAAACGATTGGTCTTGGCGTTCCGCAATTTGAGGCGCAGAAAATGAATATCCCGAGTAGGAATTCATTCACGAAATGTGCTCTCGAGATGACTTTTGAGACAGCATTAATTCACACATTAGAATTTGATGAAGCACTTGGCCCTCTTGCCAAGACAACTCAGGTTCTATGCAACAGCTAGATCATACAACTTTGCACGATACTCCTTACTCTCATGGGACGCCGTACTGTCCACCTCGTGTAGACTCTGGCACTAGCCACAAAAGAAATTCGCACAAGCCGTGATTGGAGAGGGTACTAACCGTGCTTCCTGCTGGGATAACTGACGGTGTTTCAAAGCGTTACTTGAGTTAAGGAACAAAGTCGGCCAATGTTACAGGGCCAACGATGATGTAGATGCATTATTCCATATATAAGAATGCATTCCATCGAAGTGCAATTGGGCAGGTCCAGTAGGAATGAGCGTCGCCGACACACCAAGGTTCCTCACTCAATTAAGTGAATACGCGAAGTGGTGTAAGACACGCATAGCTGAGGTATATAAGGTAAGCCTATGAATGGTAGTGGCAATGGAATACTTGGAGCTCGCCATTGGCATTCATATCACCCATATGCTGAGTATGGCTAATCGTGCAATGTGGATATTCCAGCAATACATAAGAATGCTCGGGATACTTTCAGCAAGCTCGCGCTCCGGTAATTCCCTAGAAATGCCGAGCTGTCAAAATACTCGATAACTTTTCCAAACTCATCTCAATAAAAGTGTCCTCTAAGCGTGTCACCTTCATCTGCCTAGTCGAACTTGACTAGTTCAAAAATGTCCCCATTAAATTCCTCTATCAGATGTTTCGAATCCCGGATGACGCCAGACCTGTCCCCCAGTTCATCCCGTGCGTTAGTCATGGCAATTAATGGGTGGTGCAATATGACATACTCGGGACGTAGAGGATCGGGTGAATGGGAGCACTTCGAGAGGCAAATTGCATGATTTTTCTGCAATGTTGGAGCTAGGAGCTGAACCCCAATACATCTATTAGTAGAATGTCTGAACTACGTGTAAGATTACTCGAAAAGTGCATGAACAGCTCAGACGGCAGTGTCGCTTATACATATTCGATGACCCTTGCTACTCTCAACGGTTGTTGCCCTATATTGCATCCACTGACGCCGACAGGCTCCCGGTGCGACAGTCAGCGGCAACCGCTATGATCTTACACTCTCACTGCTCTCCAATAGACTGCTAGCATGACACTCATTTTGGCAGTATAATAGGGCCATCATGATAGTACCGTGTTATGAAACATCTTGGGTAATTACATCAGTTACGTACTTTGCTCCGCGCTTTGGGGCGGGCGAGGCAGGGGTCGATCTTGAAGATGGGGGTGAGACGAGGGTTGCAGGCGTCCACGCCTCGTCCTGGATAGCCCAACTAGCTGGCCCGCTCACCGGATCCCCAAGGTAGTTTACCAATACCCTCTTCGGACTCCTCAACCTGTGCCGTCTACCGTCTCGTTCCACCTCATATTCAGGACCTGAATTTCAGGTGAATTCTCAGGACGGAGGCCACGAGCGGGTCGAGCATCGGGGGCAGGGTACGGGCCATTGACTTGAGGAGGGAGAGGTCTATGAGGCACGAGATCGTCGGAGTGGACTGATCCGTCTTCATCCGAGTGCCCGGAAGCTGTGCGTCTGAAACAAAGGCACAATTTCAATCTTTCAACCCGATGTTCGACTTATTCGCTCCTATCCTCTATTGCCAAGATCCTCACATTTCCCGCGAGGACCTCGGACCCCTTGGGGAGATTGGCCTCAATTGTTGAGGCTAACCTCCCGGGCGCGTGGAGGGTCACGTAGGTACCGTGAACCCTCCCCAGCCAAACATGTTGGCCGTGCGGCCGCGTCGTCTGAGACGACTCGTCTCCAACCTCGACTGCTCGAGAGTAGTCAGATTGTACGACTCGTTGTCGAATCGGTAGGGGCCTTGACTGCTCTCTTCTGGCTCCGTCTGCTCCCTCCAAGGCTCTGGCGCCCATATTCGTTACTAGAGCATCCGGTTAGGTCGGGTTTTGGGTTCGGATTTGGGATTCTTACCGCTCTGGCCCTGTGGCAAATCACTGCGGCAAATCCCTGCACTTCTACCTGCTCCCACAAGCCGAGGTACTTCAGCCACTTAATGACTGAAGACCCAGCCCATTGTAATGTACTCGAGCCAATCGACCTTCTGGAACGCCAAGTAATGTTCTCAGGAAGGTATTGGCGTGGGGGTCATGCAGGAATACCTGAAAAAAGGCTAGGGTTTCGGGTTGGGATAAGTGTTTCGGACTTATCAATCCCTCTTCGGGCGTGGCTTGACTACAAGAAGTCAGTTGCGCCGCAAACGGATGAGACACCCCACAAACGGATAAGGCACCCACAAACGGATAAGACATCCCACAAACGGATAAGGTCGTGGAGCACAATTGGAGAGAGTATGTGAAACTCCCTCTTCTTGTCCAGCGAACCGCCGAATGTTCAAGTCGATGTAGGACTTGGGGGCGTCAGAGTCGGTGTACCACAGCCCATCAGTTACAAGCTTCGCACGAAGGTCATCCCAATTCTGACCTCGACGAAAGCATTCCAGAGCCCTGAAAAATTAGGTAACCCGTACACCGAAATCCGACTTTGAAGCCCGAAATTCTTACTTTCTTGCAACGTATCCCTGGCGTCCGGAGTGCAGTCCAAAAAATTTTGCTCCTTAGCCAGCACACTCGCTCACGCACCGGATTTGCGCGCCCTGCAAGATGGAACAGAGGTCGACAATCTACTACAAAGGCTCCGAGTCGGTGTACGTTGGAGTGAGGAAGTACACCACATTCCCTAACTTCGGGAGGTTCCAATGAAAGCCTCTTCGGGACCCAAAGAGGGTGCCGACCGTCGTCCTCAGATCACATTGATATAGCCGGCGTGATAAGATTACATAACTCTTGGCAGAAGACACCCCCCGCGGATCCGAGACGTCATGGGAACGCGATCTCTAATGTCGCGATTGGCACGCCCCTGATGTCTTGCCCACATAGGAGATTTATCGCCAAGTGCCTTGAGTTGAGACGGCTCGGGTTGCGATCAATGCACCCAGGTGCCAAGGACCACAAAGAAGCAATGAAAAGAGAGCTTAGCTCCACCCTCCGCTATCTTTAGAGATGCAAGGGAATCCAGGGACTCAGCACCCCGATGCATGCCGGCCCAGATCTCTCAAATGGATCGGGCCCTACTCGCGCACCCTCCGGGATGTCGACTGGCGCAGGAGTGGTGAGAATCCAATACTAGGATCCCCCCGGCACCTAAGTTGTCTCCCCATGACGTGATCTAGTGGTGATGATACCACCGCGCCGCCTCGCCCATGGAGTCTGGATGGCCCGGAGGACCGAGGCTTGAAGCCAGGGCGGCAGGACAGAACAGTAATCACTAGCGCTGACCCTCGACCTCGAGTTGGCTCGGTGAGCCGTAGAACGCCCAGCTGTCCGCCTGCCGAAGACTGACCCAAGCGAGTAGAGCGGCGACCAGCTGATGAAATCTGACTGCTCAGTACTTGCCCCGGCTTGCAAAATAAGACAGATTAAGACGGTTTGTTGTTTTGCATGGCTGGGTGTATCATGTTCTCGTGATAATTGACTGTTTCCAAAAAAAACTCGTAGCAGAAATCATATATGCTGAGCCACGGGCGAATCAGCAGAAGATGCAATTCTCTGGCCGGGTGGTCTTTAGCGAACTCACCCGTCATGCAACATGTTTGTAGCGATTGATGATGTCCGAGACAGCCATCTGGCAGCCAGATTCTGCATGGCCATAAGACCTTCCATGACAACCAACGATAATAATGGATACAAAGACTTCACGGTATCTTTATTTCTAGACGACGACGATCCTCCCCAGATCACCTCCTTCGGGACGTGTACTCACGCTACTGGCGGTGTCGCTAAGGCGAGGGAGACCAAAGGTAAAGGGCGCTTCGACTCTGCGAGCTCTACTGGTATTCTGGTTTCCCGCTCCGCTGGGAGTACGCGTAAGACTTTTCGCAAGTCCGATACGTAGCCTTCGGTTCTGCTACCTCTTGTGAGACCCTAGGTAAATTTCCATCCACAGTATTTCCAGGTCAATTTAATATTTTACCCGAATTTTTGATGATTTAGCCGCTTCTTTTGAAAGAAATACCTTTTTTTTGATCATTTACCAACGGATTTCAACTTATTACCCAAAATTTCAATATAATAGCTAGTTTTTCAAAAGCTTACCCACTTCAACTCAATTAATGTGCCACGGTGCACAAAGTGCACGCGGGGTCATGAAAGACAGGTCTACAAGACCACGGACGAATGCCGTGTCAACTGCACGGCCTGGAGTGTGGACGCTCTAGCCAAGGCTACTGATGCACCGCAGAGAGATGCCTTCTGCGAGGTTACGGATAGGAGCTTTCCATCTCTGCTGGATGAATCTCGCCGACAACAAAGAAGGACTAGCTTTCGGATTCCTCCAGGAAAATGTGCTTGATCTATCGACAATCGGGGTAGCCCCTGGCGCTCTAGGCTTACTGTAGAGTCGTTTTCGTAAGTAGTTTCTTAGGGGATGTTTCGGACGAAATCCTCGGGATTTGAGGCTCCAGATTCGACAGCGGCGGGCTACCCCTGACTCAGGGATCCTAGGATGGTATGGGACGCGCACGAACTGGTCCAATCTACGAAGGTCAAGGAGAGCTCTCTTGGAAAATGTCACTGTCGAGTCTACCCCAAGGCTTCATAGATCCAAACGTCTGCCTTCAGCCTTGTCCCAGCTTGTTGAGCTCCACCCAGCGCAGGGTCTCTACCTCTTGATTAAATAACCCCTAAGGAGTA